GAGACAACCTGGACCACAAAATTATTTAAACTACAACAAGACCCGCAAAAAACCGCAAGCAACCACGAAGAGCTTCTCAACGTACCCTACTCAAACTTACCAACCGAAGAAAAAGGTCACGAAGGAAGGGAGGCGGGAGGACAATCGCGGGAGATACTTCATAGCGAAGTAGAGAAGGTAACAATTGAACAACACGCCGGTAGGCTCAAATTTTTTTACTCCAACTGGCGAAATATCACAAGCAATCCTTTGATTTTAAATTGGGTACAAGGGTATACTATTCGCTTTAGTTCTAAACCTTACCAAACTAAAGTGCTTATAAAACTGTATACCTTACATGATAGGCAATCAATTCAAATAGAAATTTACAAGATGCTACAAAAAGGTGTCATATCTAAATGTAAAAGAAAAAAATCTCAATTTTTATCAAATTTTTTTCTTCGAGAAAAAGCAAATGGTTCACAAAGGTTTATATTGAATTTAAAAAATTTAAATATTTTTATAACAGTACCTCATTTTAAAATGGAGAATCACAAATCTGTTTGTAATTTATTATGTAAAAATTGGTTTTTAGCTTCAATAGATTTAACAGATGCATACTATATGATTCCTTTAGGCAAAACAACAAGGAAATATGTTCGGTTTCAATACAACAACCAAACTTATGAATTTAACTGATTACCATTTGGATTATGCACGGCACCATACGTATTCACAAAACTTTTAAAACCTATTTTACAAATGCTAAGAATACGTGGAATCTTAACAGTATGTTATTTAGATGATCTTTTAGTGCTAGATAAAAATTTCGATCTATGTTTAAAAAGTATTCATTATGTCTTGAACATTTTCGAGTCATTAGGATTTATTATTAATAAAGATAAATCACAGTTAATTCCTCAAAAGAAATGTACTTTTCTAGGAATGACATATGACACTTCAAATCTAACAGTAACACTACCAGAAAATAAAAAAGTGAAAATATTTAATAATATTAAAAAGCTTCAACTTAACAAAATTATATCAATCCGAGATATTTCAAAAATTACCGGTCAGCTTGTTGCTGCCTGTCCTGCTCTCAAATATGGCTGGATGCATATTAAAAACCTAGAAAGGGCCATTTTTGTGGGCTTAAGAAATAGTCAAAAAAATTATGATGCTAAAATTAAAATAAATAATGAAATATTAGAGGATATTGATTGGTGGCTGAGTCATTTAGAGATGGGATTCAATGAAATTGATACTAGCACTTATAAACTGGAAATTTACAGTGATGCCAGCACAACAGGATGCGGAGCAGTTTGTGGTAACAAAAAATGCAATGGATTCTGGAATAATAAGGAAATCTCATTATATATTAACGAATTAGAATTACTTGCTGCCTTATATGGGTTAAAATATTATGCAAAGGATTTAGTAAATTGTAACATTTTACTCAGGATCGACAGCACAACTGCGATTGCTTATGTTAACAAAATGGGAGGTATAAGACACCGAAACCTCAATAAGGTTAGTAAGCAAATTTGGAACTTTTGTGAAGAGAAAAATATTTGGCTTACGGCATCTTATGTAAATACCAAAGATAATATTGCCGATAAGGAATCAAGATCCTTAAAAATATCAACGGAGTACTGCCTAAATGAGAAGTACTTTGACATAATTACCAAGGAACTGGGACAACCCGAAATAGACTTGTTTGCTTCTCAGAGTAATGCTAAGTGCCAAAAATACATCTCTTGGTTCCAAGACCCTAATGCAGTGGCAGTTGATGCGTTTACAATTTCGTGGGCCGTACGGCAGACCTTCTATGCATTTCCGCCATTTGCCTTAATCAATAAAGTCTTAAACAAAATAATTAGAGACAAATCCAAATGCATAGTAGTAGTACCCGATTGGCCAACGCAAACTTGGTACCCATTATTTTTTTAAATGTTGATATCTAAACCAGTTAAGTTCAAACCTAGTAGGGATTTAATTTTGTCACCTTTCAGGTCAGAACACCCGCTTTGGAACAAGATTTCCCTGGTTGCAGGGATGTTATCGGGAAATCGTATTTAATAAGGGGAGTACCGCAAGCCGCGATTCCGGTGCTAACTGCATCGCTCAGTAATAATACTCTTAAACAATATAACGTCCCTCTTAAAAAATTTTGGAATTTTTGCAAGGAAAAAGACTTAGATTTCTATGAAGCAACGTCAAAAAATGTCTTAACTTTCTTAAACACACTGTTTGAAGATAATTGTTCTTATGCTACACTAAACACCTGCAGATCAGCCTTGTCTTTAATACTGCCCCAAATAAGCAATTGCAAAATCATTAATAGATATATGAAAGGAGTTTTTAAAATTAGACCTCATTTGCCTAAATATTCGTCTACTTGGGACCCGAAATTAGTATTAAAATATCTTGAAACTCGTTATCCACTAGAAAATTTAGAATTATTAGATTTGTCAAAAAAACTTGTGATGTTAATTGCGTTAACTTCAGGACAACGGATACAAACAATCTCATAAATAAAATTAAGCGATATTCAAGATGACGGTACTGATATACAAATATACATATCAGATTTAATCAAAACTTCAAAGCCTTATAAAATACAACCCTTGTTAAAGTTCCGAAATTTTTCCGATAACCCTAATATATGTGTTGCAAACACGATAAGACACTATCTTAAAGTAACAAAAAATTTAAGAAATAAAAACGAAGAATACTTAATAACATGCAGAAGTCCATTTCGCCAAGCCACCACTAATACTATTAGTAGATGGATCAAATCTATTATGAAGGCTAGTGGTATTCGATCCGATGTTTTCACACCCCACAGTACCAGGCATGCATCAACATCTGCGGCAAGCAGAGCGGGGGTGAACATTGATGAAATCATAAAAACTGCTGGATGGTCTTCTGCGAGCTGTACGTTTACAAAATTTTACAATAGGCCACTAGTTAATAAAGAAAACTATTGTAATAAAATTTTAGGAAGCGTTTGTAGCACTTAGTGTGTGCCGATTCAAGATTATAAAGACAATGTTAGGGTTTATTTTTGAATACTAAATATTATTGTTTGTGTTATGTGTTATTAAATAAATTGCTATTTTCATATTTGTAAACAAAAAAGAAGTTTATAATCTTAATATTAATTAAAATATATAAATACTCGTTAGATGTTGATCGTTCTTTTTAAGTGCTTTAAACATCTACATAGGTTAACTGGTTAAGAACGCGTGAAGTATAATTGAAAGAACAAACGACTTACCTGAAGGATGTTTGTTCGAAATTATACGAACTGCGTTCTTAACCAGTTAACAACCCTCCCTCCCATGAAAACCCAAAACGATCAACCACACAGATCATGAACTGAAGGGCTGGGCACCGGCAATGAAAAATGTCACTGTCACTATAAACTCTGTGGCGTAACACTGGGTCGTGGAAACTACATAGGTTAACTGGTTAAGAACGCAGTTCGTATAATTTCGAACAAACATCCTTCAGGTAAGTCGTTTGCATGTCTATAAATTACATATCATGGATATAAAATAGATATCCACCATGGACTGGACATTCAGTGGATATTGGGATGTGCAGTAGATATCCAAAGGATTTGGTGTGCTGTCTGGGTGTGACATCGGTTTCCGAGTGTATTTCATTAAAATATACCAATTTTGGATAAATTATAACATATTTTATAATCTAAATGAAACCAAGGATAACTTTTTTGATTATTTATATTGCAAAAAAGTAAGAAAAACTTTCTATAAAAAACAAACTACAAGAAAGACATAATTATTGTGAGAAATGAAAAACAGACAAAAAATCTAAAAAAAAACATTGCAACTCTGACTTTGCAGAAATTCTCATTTTTGACTTTTATGCCACATGCCAAAAGACATAGAGACGGACATAATCCAATAGGATTACCTTTATTATCCTTACATTGCAAACAGGAATACCAAGTTATACTCCTTTCTGTGTGTCTACAATCAACAAAAATTTATACAAGTTGGGAGACGATATAAACCAGAGCCGCCACGTTATTTAAGGGTTATGACTGGAACTAACCATCCAATCCTAAAACCATATGACACATGTATGTGCCAGACACGCCCAGAAACTGACGCAAAAACACATATGTCGCCGCTAAACCGCCCGGGAGTTATTTGCATTTAATCAATGTAGGGTCATTGTCACACATTTGTGACAGCAGTTCCTGGAAAAAACTGCCTGTCACATATATGTGATGCGTGGTCATCAACGTGCTAAATAATGCCGTTTTTCTCATTTAAATCTATTCAACGATAATCCATCTGTTGCGATATTAACCAAGGGAGTAGTTGTTTTTTGAAAGGAAATAGTCGCTCCTATTTTGTAACATATGGCTTCGTGATTTATTTATTTATATTATTTTATCTTTATTTTTGACAAACCTCGTATACGCGACTATCAGATATCAATTTGTTTCAGTATTATATGAGGTTGTCAAAAATAAAGGTACTTTACTCTTCAGCAAAATTCATATTATTGGACATACCTCGTATACTATTGTAAAAATGTGATATATGATGGTTGGATTTAAGGTTTCAGGCCATGCAGAACTTTTTCGTAAAGTTAATAATAAAAAAGTTTCCCATATACTGCGAACTTAAGTGGAGACACTGTATAAATCTTATATTTATATACTATATAGTATAAAAAACTAATAAAACAAAAAAAAATTAAATACACGAATATTTAATAACTTAATACAAAAGAGATACTCATCTAAAAATCCTGTTTTGTACTATTAACTATTCATTACAATAAATACATATTTTATTTCTTAATATATGTAAAACATGTCCCTGTATTAACAGTTCAGTTACTACAATAATAATTATTAGTATTATTTTTTAATCATTTAGTTCCAAGTAACTTCAATAAAAATTAGGTTCCATCTCTAACACTACTGCTGCTGAAACTGTGTAACGGAAGGAATCAATTTTGTTCGGCGCTTGACCTTGATGTTTCGGCTTTTGGCGTTTGGTGTGAAACTGTGAACGGAAATATGTCGAAAATCGTTGCATTTTACTGACATGTACATCCACATAAACAACCTAAACACACATTGAAGGCTTATTTATGAGATGTTAATATCAAGGAAAGGTTCCAAAATATTTAAATTATACTCGTAAAATATCGAAATGTACGGAAACGTGCATTTTGCCGTCATCTCTGGCGTATGTGCCTCAACGGGCAGTGTTTTTGGAAAGTTATCTGGGTTGCCTAACTTTGAGGTAAGTGTATAACTTGGGCTGGTATAGTTTATAAAAATGAAACACTTTATTGCTTAGTAGCTGCATTTAATATCAAACTGTTATATACGGAAAACGGGCTAATCAGTAACACATGATAGACGCCAGACATAACCTAGTTGCCTGTGTCGTTATTCGTTAATGATTAATATATATTGAAACTATGGATATAGAACATTAGGCAACACATTTTACATAATGTATTGTGGATTGCATATCTACAGGACCTATATAATTAGCATTCTTATACGAATAATACCATATCATACAGTAAGAATCTGATATTTTAACAATATTGTTTTTGTTATTTGTTATGCAAAATGGAACTAATATTATTTATTCTTTAATCCATCCGTGAAATATCTATTAATATTGTTTTATAAATGTTTGGTTATAAGTGAGGTAGAGTAGAGGTGGGTGACAACCAGAAAATATACTTGTCTTGTATTGTCACATTTTTTAAAGTAATGGTTTAAAAAAAAACGACTTAAGCAGCGGAAATCAAAATTTTATTTTGCGGAATTAATAAGAGTGGTCTAAATTAATTCAAACACAAGATATTGCAATTTTCGTGCGAATGTTTTAAATATCTGCGGTACCAACAAAAAGTTGAAATTATTTTAAGTTCTTGACTGATTTGAAGATTCATATCGAGTGATGGTTGAGTCGATATAATCATGTCTTCCAATCCATATTCTAGAAAACACATTATTTAAGTATTCTTACCAGATTCGTAAATTCTAATGAACGTTATTGCAACCGTACTACCAGACTTATAATTTGTAGCCTTGTTACCTTTTGTGTATTATTTATTGTTTCGGCCTTTACTTGATGAAAATCCATATTATCTTAAATGAGTAAAACCAAATTTGGTAGATTTTCACAAAATTTTTATTTAAAAAAAATAAAAATTAAAAACACTACACATGACATGTTTCGAAGTACAACTTCTTTTTCAAATGTGACTAATTTACAATTCGGTGTCCAATATACAGTATGGTTCAAATAAAAGGATTACATTCATTATAATGGAAGTAGTTGGTTTTTCGAAAAAATGCTCGGACAGGTCAATTTTGTTTACTCAAAGCGCAATTTTTAAATAGAATTCAATTTTCCCCCACAGTCAGGAAAATGGATACAACATTTATTTGGTTTACCTTTTCTCACTCCCGAAAGTGTAAGCGATTGTTTCATTAATAATTTTTTGGCGGACATTCCTGATTCTAATGCCTTTTCAAGATTAGCAGATTATTTAGTTGATTTTTATATTTCGGAAACGTCTGTATTTCCTCCTTCGGTACGGGCTTCCAAAACCAGTAATTTATTTTTAACAACCAACCCCTGTGAATCCTTTCACTCTCATTTTTCAAAAAGTTTTTACCATACGCACCCCAATATTCACGTTTTTGTTAAAATTCTTATTGAATTTCAATGCTTAGTTTATATTAAAATTCAAAGTATTGGTAACCCTATTGTTGTAAAAACGAAAAAAGTCAGAGATGCGGAAAAGTTTTTAAATCAGAAGATTTTGGAGCTAGATAATAAGCCATTGACAGAATATGATTTTGTGAAGTTAGTTGCTCATAGATACAAACTATAATACTATTTACTGTAAAATTATTATTATTATTATTACACAGGTCTGCGAAAAAATACTTCTTAAAAATTGTTTTGACCCCATGATTTTTTTTAATAAATAAATGCCAACTACCATATTCTGATTTTTATTTAACCCAGAAAAATAACTGTTTGCATTAATTCAGTAGGTACCTGATAATCCGTTAATGAACAAACTAGTAATAAAGTGCGCAATTTGCTAGTCATAAAGCGCTCAATTGGCCGGTCTCTGTTTCGTCCTTGGTGCTCAATTGGCGTGTCCGGCTAGGTATCAATTTTACCCGAGGGTAATAAAGTGCTCAATTGGCGTCCGTCCAATTAAAGATCTAAATTGCAGATATAAGACTCTTACATATATAGGAGCCCCTACTGAAAAGGTATCATCATATTTAAAAAACCAAAATATTAACGTAGCTTTCAAAACCAATAATACGCTTGGGAAGTATATTAAAAACAATAAAGGTAAAATTAATCCTAATAATAAATCGGGGGTATATAAATTAAATTGTGGTAGTTGTCCAAAATTATATATTTGTCAAACAGGCCGTACTTACTCAAATCATATTTGGGCTGAAAATCATTCCTTTACAGACAACTTTGAAATTTTACATATAGAAAATAAGGGCATTAAACTAAACCATTTAGAAACACTTAAAATAAATAGATTTAAAAATTCAGATAACCTACTAAATGATCAATTATTAAATCTTTTTCCTAGTTTTCTGTGAGATAATCCCGGTAATGATACTATCTTATTGTTATCTGATTGATATCATAATTACTTAAATACCCTTATTTACTTTAAATAGTCAGTTTATTTTGTTATGTTATTGATGTATTTTCTTAATTACTTTGTAAATTAGTCACATTTGAAAAAGAAGTTGTACTTCGAAATATGTCATGTGTAGTGTTATTAATTTTTATTTTTTTTTAAATAAAAATTTTGTGAAAATCTACCAAATTTGGTTTTACTCATTTAAGATCTTATATGTAGTTCAGTTCAGTTTAAAATCTTTATTCAGTTATATTCATATGTGCATTTACATCTCAAACTCGAAATTTTTAAAGAAAGTAATGCATATAAAGTACAGAAAATAATTTACACGAATCACAGTCTTCATTGGGAATCCTGTCGTCGGATTGGCCCTGGCGGTGTTCTGCCTTTTTCGCAGCTTGGGACGTTTCTTGTTTAGAGGTCACTTGCTTACTCCTTACCAGGCGGTATTATTAAACAATTTTGAAATTAATATGCTGTTGCAGTAAGTGAATTGAATTGGTGTTGTGTCTGGCTTTAATTGTGTCTATTTTCCCTGAAAAAGCTATTGAAAAAACAGGGTTTTGAAGAGTGCGTGTGTTTGTAATAGTCTCTGGTGTATTATAACACTCGACCCGATAGCCCGCCCACCTTTCTGAATCGAACAGTGTGTTTCAGTAATCATTAAAGACCGGACATTTTAATCGCGTTCAAATAATTGGTTTTAATCACATAGGCGTCTCATTCTGGGTTCGCTATTTAAGACGGCAGACAGTGCGGCAGATTCTAATACTATCAGGACAAACCTCTTTTTTTTATTAAAACAAGATAAAAAAAGTGTACTGATATATACATAGACATTAAAACTAATACAAAAAAGTGAGATTTTTTTTTATCGTGTACCTATATTCTTTGTCTTTTGAATCATTTTCATTAAACAAATTTAATGTTTTCTTCTCACCAACGCCGAGGATATGTAGGATATTTTACAAAAGTTTTTAGTAACCTCAGATCCTTTAATTTGTGGCCTGAGAAATTTTCCTTAAAAAAAAATAACTTTTTTGATGAAGATGTTAAACTTTTCATAAGCGAGTTTAAGGTGTAGTAATGTAAACGATATTCTGTATGATATTTTTTTTATTATTATCTCTTATATAATTACAAAATATCTATTCCTCAATATTTTGGCGTGGTACACTACTCTCCTGCCTAAAATGAGGATCGAGGACCCCAGCTGCCTCCCCCGAATTTGTTATTTCCTCCAGAAAATTGGAAATTTCTAGCCTTAGCTGGTCCCGATTCATTGTTGGAGAAATTGCATCGGGGCCAAATATTAGGACTCTACGAGCGTTTGGACTAAGACGCTGTAGAGAGGGCCTAAAATGAATGTCAAATAGGCCCATCATATGTTGTCTTATACTTTCTCGATCCATTGTCGGTTAGTTGCCGGTGATATTTTTATTCAAATAAAGTCAATCCTTATATTATATTTATGAATATTTTGGCTTTTATCGATACCGTACATACCGATTTTTTGTAACAAAACATTTATGTTTTTATTTCCTGTGGATATTATGGTACTTATACACGATGAGACAATAAAATAAATGTCTGTTAAATTTCTGTAATGTATGTATTAATTCAATTGCTCACTCTATATAGGTATCTGTTGGTTGAAAAAATGTAAAAAGATAACAAAGAGTCGATAAACAGGAGATTTGAGAAGAAAGTGTCTTGTAAAAATATCACTAGATTTTTCCAATGAGTATATTTGTTTAGTTCAAAGGGAAAAGTGATAGAAACTGGAAACGTAAATATGGAAAATTTATTATCGGACTTTGATTGTTTTCGTCGTTTTAATGACAACAAATTATACTGCCGCAATTGTGATCAGGTGTTAGTTTTTAATGGAAAGTCAAGTATGACACAACATGTGAAAACACAAAAACACATGCAATCTTTAGAGGGATGTCCAGACAAAATCTTTTATGAAGATTTATGCAACGCATTTGTTTCTGCAAATATTCCATTAACAAAATTAAATAATACAATTTTCAAAAATTTTCTTTGTAAATATACTAAACGTAAAATACCGGATGAATCCACAATTAGAAAACATTATATTCAAAATCAGTACGATAAAGCAATGACGGCAATAAAAACGAAAATTTCCAGCAAATATATTTGGGTTAGTGCAGATGAAACGACTGACATAAAGGGTAGATGTGTTGTTAATGTTGTTGTAGGATTATTAAGTGCTGAAAATACTTCACAACAGTATTTAGTTTCTAGTGTGTTTCGTGAAACTGTGAACGCTGAAATGATTTATGAAATAGTGAAACGTGGATTGAACAATGTAATTGATAATGACGTTTCAAAAGTTTTATTGTTTATTTCAGACGCGGCAAGTGTAATGTTGAAAACAGGGAAACTATTACAAGAACATTTTCCAAACATGCTGCATGTAACTTGCCTTGCTCACGCGTTACACCGAGTTTGTGAGTTTATCCGTGACAGCTTTCCAGACATTAATTCGTTGATTAGCTGTTTTAAAAAAATTTTGTTAAAAGCACCGTCCCGAGTTTCTTTATATAAAGAAATATGTCCGAATATCCCCCTACCTCCACAACCAGTTATTACACGATGGGGAACTTGGTTACAGGCTGTGTTCTTTTTTTCGGAGCATTTCGACAGACTAAAAGTATTTATTTCCAACTTATCAGAGGACGCTCTCTCTATCACTCAGTGTAAAGGTTTAATAACAAAAACAACTTTGCAGTCGGAGTTAAATTTTCTTGCGACTTATTTTTCGTGTCTCCCAGAAACTATAAAATTCCTTGAAACCCGTAACTTACAATTATCGGTTGCTATGGAAAAATTTGAATCGACATTGTTACACTTAAAAAACGTAAAGTGGCCCTTACAAGATAAATTTAACCATAAAATAGATTGTGTTATTAAAAGAAATCCAAATTTACAGACTCTGAAACAAATCTCCCTGAACAATTTTAACGATTATGAAACTGCTTTAAAATATTGTGATTTTGTTCCACATTTTTCATTTGCTCCTGTAACGAGTTGTGACGTAGAACGATCGTTTTCTAGGTTTAAAGATTTATTGACTTCTAAAAGAAGTAATTTCACTGAAGACAATTTAGAAAAATATGCAGTCATACAAACATATTTTTCAAATGAAGAAGATTGATATTAATTTGTATTGTATATATTGTATATAATTGTATATTTGCTACTTTAGGATAAAGAGTGTATATTGGAACACTCTAAACATAAAACTAATGATGGTGTATCCTCGTTGATATATTTATTAGTCAATAATATATTAACAGAAAAAGCCAACAACATTATCCCACAACACAATAAAAAAATAAATAATAATATCATTTGTAATTATATAATAATATCCAACCAAATTTGAACTAAAATTTAATAAAATAATTATTGCAATGTAAATGTAATAATAAGCCCGCCCCAAATGTTACGCCCGGGCGATAAAAATCCAATATCTTATCTACTGTGTCGACCAGTTCAGTAAATAACTTGTTTTATTCAGAATGTATTATTCAAATCGAAGGTCCGCTCTTACCGTTACTTCGCTGATAAGAATAAATTAAATTGTCCGGTCTTTAGTAATCATTACATGCAATGATTGTCGATGTTATTGTGCTTTATTTGTCAGGTCTCAACGATTGTATATTGTCAGGTTTTCATGAAGCCAAACATGCTTCCTATTATTTTGTATTGAAAATTGACTTTATTCTAGGAGGAAGACAGTTTCTGTAGAATTTTTCGGATAGCTGTAGGATGTATTGCTTAATAGGAAGTATGTTTGTCCTCTCGTGAAGTTCTGTAATTCTGGTGTCCCTTGCACATCCAAGGATAAGCCTTAGACACCTGTTTTGTGTGCGTTGAAGTTTTTTAAAATGCGTTTCGGCCATGGAGCAGAAGACTGGACATCTATAGGTCAATATCGGTCGAAGAACTTGTTTATAAAGTAATTGTTTGTTCGCTTTCGATACCGAGCTGTTGTGAGCCAGCATCGGATATAGTGTGCGAATCATCGCTGTTGTTTTTGCGACCCTATCATTTATGTGACGTCTAAATGTTAGTCTCCTATCCAGATGAAAACCTAGGTATTTGATGGAGTTTTTGATCTCTATGGTTTGGTTTTGAATTTTTAATTTCCCTTTTACTCCGTCTGTTCTTCTGTGGGATAATAAAATCTTATGTGTAGTCTATTTTGGCGGCTATACCGCGTAGAATAACGCACAATCATTATAAATAAGATTGCCTGGCAGGTCAAGAAATTTAGATTGCCCGAACAGTTATACAAACATAGATATAATTGTGATATTAATAATAATAATAATAATAATAATAATAATAATTTTTTTCTGTTTCAGGGATTATATGTATTGAAAATTGCATTTTTTGTTCTTATGCTATTATTCAATACTGCTTGTATGACGTTTTTTGTAAAAGCTTTGCAACAAAGCCTTTCCTTGAAAGCAACATTGATTAGTTCATCTACTAATTACGTTTTTACGGTAAGTGGAGAATTTTTAAAATATAACTTACCTTTTTTTTTAATAATTTCAGTTGTAGTCCTTCAGCTGACTACGAAAAGTGCCACGTCTATTTTCTGCTACCTTTTATTAGCAAATAAACCAAGTGAACCTCATTTATTCTTGTAGCTACCATAATTCTCATCGTTCAGATTTTCTTAAAAAACTTTCGTCCCTAAATATCCTTTTTCCATCAAGTATTTCTATTTTATTAAGTTCATTTGATGAGATAACTTAATTATTGAATTTTTAATTAAAGAACATATTAAAATATAACTAAATAATTATTCGGTTTACAAAAGTCTGTAGCAAAAAAAACTATGTTTAGATGCCAATTCTAGAGCGTGTTTCCGGAAATGTCCCCATTTATTTATTACCGAATTTATTCCATTTGGCTGTTCCACACTATATGATTTTGGTAGGATATAAAGCGGTGTAACAATTATTTCCTATGTTTCAGGCTCTTGCTGGATTCATTATATTTCAAGAAACGACATCTCTGCTGTGGTGGTCAGGCATAAGTCTTATAATTTTAGGCTTGATCCTAATAGTATCAGAAAGATCCGATGTTAATTCCACGAAAGTTGGTAAAACGAAAATAAATTAAAACAAAATATTTTAGTTGGTCATAATTCTCATTATAAAATGGATTTACAACATGGAAATTAAAGAGCAATAGAATTTCACTTTAATTCAATTTTATATTTTACACCGATTTTTTATTTAAATAAAGTACGATTTAAAATTATTTTGTTTTTTTTTAAGAATTGATTAAATTTTTAGGAGATAATACCAGTTTATTTGTTTATTTCATTGACAATAATTATTAAGAATAGATCGGAGTTATTAATTCGGAATCATATAATTTGTATAAATGGAATGATATTTTTAGAAGTGGTGACGCTCAGTGCTACACTTTCGATGCAAAGGAAAAGACCTTATATTTATTTATTTTATTTATTTAATCATACATCCAACAACGGCCAAGGCCCATTACAGAATGTGCAATATACATTCGAATGTACAGATATGCTAGAATTGATTCTAGGCACAAAAAAGTTAAGCCGAGCCTTATCTAAAGTTAAGACGTGTGCATTATAATTAGGAGATCATGTTACTGAGGCATAACGTTGCATTTTTCAGGATTTAACATAAGATTCTTAATTATACATCAATTGTGAATTTTGTTTATATCGGATTGCAGTAACGTACAGTCATTGATTTTATTAATCTTTGAAATAAGCTACAGGTCATCAGCGTAGAGTAAATATTGTACATTTACATTATTACAAATATAGTTAATGAAGATTATGAAGCATAAAGGACCTAAAATGGAACCTTGTGGTACACCGGAAACTTGAGATATCAAGCGAGATTTAACACCACTAATAAGGATATACTGGGAATGATTACTTAAATAGGAACGAAGGAGAGATAGTACATTGTCTCCCACGAACAAATCCATGTTGTTTAGGTATAATCGAGTTTTCGATTTCTTTATTTTTATTTTATAGTTTTGTACAAGTACAGCTGAAAAAATGTAAAATATAATATTAGATTGCTTATCCTCAAAGATTTTTATTACATTACAAAAATATAATGTTTGTTCATGGGCATGGGACTGGCAAAAAAATATAATATTAAGGTAAAATCATACGCACAGCTTTAGAAACAATTTAAAATCACCTCTATTTCAAGATGCACTCGCAATTATAACTTTACTTCAAAGAAGTTTCTTTTATATTATTTAAAATAAATAAACGTTTCTTCTAAATTTGCTTCCTTTATTTAAAATCTCAAAATACCAAGATGTAGGCTACCAGTTTAACATTTTGCAAAAATGTGTTGCCTAACCTAGTAGTAATTGCATCAAAATGGCCGCGCCCTATGTTGGGCTTATCAGACGTCTTTTTTGCATCGTATAGTAATTATAGTATGTGCTCTAGTAGTAATTGCTCGGAGATCTAGCCCTGATAATTATTGATATAATATGCAACCAAAATTGCATGTGTAATTTTTGATGGATTTACTCTAAAAACTCGCTTATTGGGCATGCGTTGCAATACCGCTGGATATAGCATAATTGTCCATTTTTTATTAGGTCGGTCAGCAGGATCGTGTAACGTTCCACTGGTGGAAAAGTCGGTGGGCTTGATTATTTTTTCGGTTCAAACTAATACTCTGAAGAAACAAATTTTATCAAATGATTCGATTGTATGTAGCGGATTTATTGATACAGGAAGTTCGGTTTGTACAATTTAAGAGAGTATTGTTAAAAAGTAGAACATCTCCTGTCCCCACAAATAAAAGTACAACATTGCAACCTAAATATATGGGACCCGTACTTACAAAGTAGAAATACTTGATTATAGTGAAAGGGATAGAAAACACAAAACAGAGCTTGTTATTTTTCTATAGAAAGCTCAGTCGTTAATGTTCCGTTTCAACCGCCTAGATAAATAAGTTTATTTTTGTAAGCTTATTTTTAGTTTTGTTACTCTGGATTACTAAATTTATAACTTTTTTATTCATTTTTCATTTTAGGCCGAAACCAGTAAATAAATAAATAAAATAAAAGCTATTTATTGATTTGTACCGAAGGAATAACTCTTGATTGTTTAAAAAAAGAGACAAAAATTAATAAATTTATTCTTTTATTACAAATTAAAAAATTTACATCTCTTTGACACATAATATTCACATTTAAAAACCTCTTCAAAATATTTGTTTGCACAATTTATCCATTGAGTTTTGTCTCGATATCACTAAGAATAAAATTTCCCATCTCTGATTCATAAAAGCTTATATCCCTGCAGCCTTATTTTAATATATTAATTACTTGTAGGGTAAACATATTCATCTGATGGTTGAATCGTTTCAACTTTCTGTCTTTTCATGTAACACAAAATATTTATCCATGCAAACGAACACATCCCAATATATGACACTCTCAGTAATGGAGGTATCAACATGAAATTTAATAATTGTGCTGGCATCCAAAAGAGGCAACTATTTTTAAAGGTTGGTATGAATTTTTGCTTGCATTCCTCAAGTACATCCTCTTTTCGCTCCATTAGACTCATTGCTAAAATAAAATATTTTTATAAATTAATCTGAAAATTGTGAATTTATTTATCGTAAAATCGAAATTCGAAAAGTCAGAGAAATATCTTTTTGCTGAACTATCAAAATAAATCCTCTTAATCATTACTTTTACACAATCTAACAAATGCACGTCTGCAAATATGGCGGATTTATAGATGCAAGAAAGATAGATATAAACATACAGGGTGGAGGGTGGACCAATCTTGTGGAAAAGTTCGATATCTTCCTTGTTGAAAGAGATATTAAAAAAGTGTATTAAGAAAATTATGGACATGTTTGAGGTTAACATTTTAAAATTATTGGGGGGTATACAGGGTATTGCATAGCTCGTGTACGAACCAAACATATGTTTTTTTAATGATAACCCCAGTATATTATTTTAGATTCTGCTTACTCATATTTTTTCCATTCTTCTAATATATGGTTTGTCTATGTTATATAGGGTACTTTTCAAGGAATTGACATTTTTGTGAAAGAATTGTACATAATTCAACGTCCAGCAGCCCCTTTACACACTGTAGAAAAAAAAAATTTTTACCCACACGAATTTTATAATATGATGTATTATACTTTTTTTTAGTTATATTTTTATTATCTGTTTATTTGTATACAGGGAGACTCAATACTCAGACCCTTGATTTTCTTGTTTTATTTAAATGGGACACCCTATATTTTATATCACCAGTAAAATCATCTGTTCCAAGTCTTTCATTTTTATAAAGCATTCCCTATACCTAAAGTTAATATTTATCGATATTTTTTAACAATAAATGAAAATGATGGTTATTTCGATAAATTAAACTAGTTTTTCATAAAATACTCTTTATAAACAACAATAAATAATATGTGTTATTTTTTATCTAGTCGCCAATGCATTTAATATACCTGTCGCCGTCCAGTTGACAATTTTGACATTTTAAAAATGTTAATGTTTTAAGTAAATTACTAATAAGATGAACAATATGAATTTTTCTATCCCAGAAATGGTGGATATGATTTATATACTAGGTGAGTGCAACAAGAATTCTTTACTTGCCTCCATAGTGTAACATCAACGATATCCGGAACGCTGGAAACCAAATAAAAAGGAGTTTGAAAAACTAATGGACCGTTTTAATCGTACTGGTACTATATCATACGAGCAAAAACAAGTAACAAAAACTGCTATCACGGAAGAGAATGAAATGAAAGTGTTGTTGAGTATTTATGATCCGCATATTAGTAAACGAAATATTTCAAGACAACAAGTCAGTTACAGAACTGTTCAAAGAATCCTATCAAAACATAAAACGATCCTTTCTATATTCAGTTACATCAAGAACTTCTTGAACGGGATTTTGAAAATAGAGTGATATTTTGTGAATGGTCCCAACAAAAAATTAATCAACAAAGAAATTTCTTTGATTTTGTGCTCTTTGGTGATGAATCGACTTTTCATAAAAATGGAGGTTCAAATAGGCATAATTTTCACTATTATTCTACAACAAACTCACACATAGCCAAATGAGGTGGTCATTAAATGTTTGGGGTAACATTGTGGGTGAGTAAATAGTGCAGTATATTTGGATTTCCTTGAAAATCATTTGCCTACGTTACTCGAAGATGTTCCCCTTCACATTCGCCAACAAATGTGGTGCACGATGGTGCACCAGTCCATCACACTGTAGTTATTTATAATTATTTAAATAATCACTTTCCAAGACGGTGGATCGGAAGAGGAGGACCGATAGGGTGGCCAGCGCGATCACCGGATTTGACAAAAATTGATTTTTTTCTGTGGGGTTGTGTAAAAAAAAACAAAGTATATAATGTGCCTGCAACGACAAAAGAGGGCATGAAAATGTAATAATTGGCATTATTATTATTATTATTTGAAAAATCTAAAGAATTTGCCAAACATTCTAACTAAGTATTTAATGTTTAAATTAAATAATTAGAAAGACACGTATGAAAATAAACAAACCTTCCGATATTAATCTACATTGAACGTGACATTTTTAAATACAAGCAACCACCACGTAAATTTTAGTTTATATAGAGAGGAGACAGAAAGAAAGGATCACTTAGGTAAACTCGCAGTCAAGTTCGGACTAAGGACCAGAACTTTCGCCTCTTGGGCGAAAGTTCTCGTCTTTTTATGTGATGTGTAGAGTAAAGTTTTGTGTACGATGTAAATTATGGGTAAATATTTTAACTTAATTTTAAAGTGTTTTGTAAATAATAATTGATTGATTGATTTACATATAAATGCCAATTTTACATTTTCGTCCCAAATTATTATATTTATCTTAGGCTTATCTTTATATTACTATGTAGTTATAGGGCTTTATTCCCTAAATGGAATTTTATTCATTTTTGCTTAAGACCATCAGTCAAATTTTGTATTTATTGTTAATATACATTTATTAATGTTTTAATACTTATTTCTAATCTCTTCTTTCTAAATACTCCGAGCATTTGAGAAGCCTAAGCGTTTCTATTCCCTTAGGACTAAAAGAGTCTAAAACTAGTTGCCAAGAACCGCTCGACTATGCTATTAAGGGATGATTTTTTTTATTCTTTTAATTTAATTTTTTTATTATTTTTATTTGCCACTGGTGAATGGATGTTCCTTCAGGACTCCAGGACCCCTT